CTTCCTCGCTTTGACTTGTTTGAATCGAGGACAGTCCCGATCATACATGGGTGCAGCCCCTGTTTATTGTTCACACGGTCTCGGAACTGAGTACCATGGCTCAAACGGTCATGGTGAAGGTGAAGTCCTTGAGGTTTGGGCCCTTACAAAGCAAGTGACAATATTTTTCGTGCTTTGTTTGCAGCCGTGTGCCGAAGCACGCCGGTTTGGCGGAACTTTCGGGGTCCGAACAATGCCAGGCTTACCAAAAACCGCCTTTGCCCTTCAACCAACAACGGGGCTTTTTACCAATTTCAGCTGAAACCAGCACTGTCTTCGGCTATTGAGGCGGAGCGGGGCGGAGGCGGTGCACCCGGGCTACGGCTTCCTGTCAGAGAGCGCGGAGTTTGCGGCCGCCTGCGAGGCGAACGAACGGACCTTTTGTGACCCTTCTTGCGCCTTCATACCCTTTCTGTCGCATGCTCAACACATCACACAAAGACCCAGAGACATTGGAGACTGGTCCGAAGCATTTGACCCACAAGCACACCCTCGCGTCGCCACGGGGAATCGGAATAGATCCAGGGACCCATGCAGCGGGCCAAAATCAAGCACGATCCCGAGTGCATCACATCTTGAAAAATCTCTCGTCCAGCTCGAGTACCAGAAGCTGAAATGCGTTCATTTCGGCCATTTCCAAGATGGCCATCAGAGTGTTCTGATTGTGGCAGCAACAGCGACAGGAGAACACACCCACACACACACGCACACACACCGTGGAAGGCCAACGGCATCACCTTCATCGGGCCCCGTGCAGAGACCATTGCGCTGCTCGGGGACAAGGTGCGAAGGTCGGTGGGGCGAAACGGAGTGCCGCAGGGGCCAGTGGGCCAGTGGTTCGCCTTCCGAAGCTTTGGGTAGTCTTTCTGTAAGATGGGGATGAGAATGGCGTTGTGGATGAATACTGTGAGTAGTTCTTGAGAGCCCTTGTGATGTTGGATGCTCGATTGAGTATGAGCGTTGCTCACGTTCCAATCAACCATGTCCAGGTTCTTCATTGTTTTCGATGCAGCTTCCTTGTGGTGACTTGGGTAGGTTCGCCTTCCATGCAGAAATGCGGGGTTAGTCTGCACCACTTCAGTCGCACCACCAATGTACGTACCCATGGTTGTGGTCTGATTTGCAAATGGAGCTTGTTGGGATAGGATTTTGATGGAAACCAAAAGGACAGCAACCAGTTTTGGGGTTCGCAATTTTTGGAAACACGGAAACATGATGATCCGAAAATGACCCCGGAACCCCACAAAGTGGTCCTTCCCCGATTTCCTCTTCGAATGGAGTTTCGGCTGTTCCCCTCGCAGTTTCAGGAGAGTAGCTTTGTGACCAGATTTGTGTTTTCTGAAATCAATACAAAGATGATTCCCTGCATATTTCTCTCCTTTTGCGTACTATTCAACCCTCACCTTTTGGGGGGAAAACACACGCAAGAAAGTCTCATCTTGATGGGGTGGTGTTTTTCGGTTGAAATTTAGTCTTGGGACTGCAAGACTACCAGGGGACGCCACCGAATGCTCATTCTCGGTGAGCCCCGTGAAATTGCAACCTAGTGCAGGACATGCCGAAAGTGTGGAGCATGCTTGCATCATCGTTCTTGTGGCTTTGGTGAACCATTGTCACGTGCTGTTCCAACGTGACACAGTTCAGACACTTGCGCTTTTGGGCTCCAACACTATTAAACTCAAGGTCAGAATCTGGTTTCTGAGTTTTAGAGGCTTGAGCGGGCCGCTGTGTCCAATGGCGAAACTGCGCATAGACAGTTCATCACATTTTGGTGGAACAACTGGAAGTCCAAAACTGACATTAAATATGCCAGACCTTGGTCTCATGACAGTGTGGAGGTGTGGTGGTCTACAAAATGCGTGCCACATGGCTATGATTTCTACTCAGGATCGCATGTTAAACATGGTTGGTGGCTATGCCCCCCCATGTGAACTTGATGCCAAAGCAAGCCATATGCACCTGGCTCAAGCTTTTCTGGCGCATCAGCTCCTGCATCCATAGGTGTGAGTTTGCAGGCGCGGGCAGCACAGCCTCCGTGGGTATGCCCTCAGATGTGGACTTGGAGCGGTCTCGGAGCAGGCCTGTCCGGACTGGCAGGGTGAAGCAAGCTAACCGTGGGGACCGGGGCAATGAGGGCAGAGGGTGAAAGCAAAGGCCTCCGGCACTGACAATTTGTGGCCGAGATGGACAATGCTATCCTGCGAGATCTGCGAGAAGCTGGGCTAATAACTTGGACATCCGCGGTTCCTACGATGGCCCTGCCCTTTCTCCAGGACCAGCACGCGAAGGTGCCCTGCAAATTGTGCCTAGCTGTGCTCGAGACTCCTGGCGACTTGAAGAAGATCTTGAAAGAGATTGAGAAGGTCGGCGTGAAGCTCCTGGAGGAATGCGCCGGGGAGATGTGGTGGTGGGGTGGAAGCATCAGCCTCAGAGGAGGTTTGCGGGGAACGAAAGTTTTTGTCTCAGTGTTTTGCCCGAAGCGCTGCAGAATCCGAGATGTGCAATGCGCAGGGCCCGCGCTTCGGCCTGAGAATGTTTGAAAATAGAAGCCATTTTCCAAACACGGACACAAGGCTGGTGCTGGTGCTTTTGCGCAGGTGCGTGCCCGCGAGCTGGCGGTGGACAGCGACGTGCCGGCGCCGGGCTCAGGGCAAAGATTTCAATCCTTGACTCGGAAATGGTGGATGGATCGTTTTGTGTAGATCATGTAAAAGTAGACCGAAGCCTGATGAGACTTTCCAACTAGCGAGTTTCGACCAACCCCAACATGACTTGGTCGTCATTTGGCTAACAAGGTGCTAAAGGCCAGCAAGGTGCGAGCAGCTCCAAACAAGGGGCTTTGTAAGATGGAATTTGCGTTACCTGTTTGGGGAGATCCAACAATAGCAGGTCCAGCTTTACTTAGCGAGTGTGTCAACACCAGGGCCTGTTTTCTGATTCATGCGAAAACCAACCATTTGAAGAAGCTTGCGGTTGATACGGTCGATGACAGAATCAACAGGTTAGTGAGGTTGTTTATTGTAAGCGCTGCTCGCTGCCCGCCTCGACTCGAAAGAATCACGAGCTTTGAGAAAATGATGCCTGGGCTGGGCTGTGGGCTGCAGGGTAGCTGGAACGCGCTCAGTAGCTAGGGACTGCGGCCTGCTTGGGGGGGAAAGGGGGTGCGTGCAGGTGATAACTTGGGCATTTTGTGCTACAAACGCTCATGTTGGGCAGGAGCAAGATCAAGGCTGAGTCTCTAGCTTTCTTGTGCCCGATAGCCAAGGCTAAATAGGGATGCGTGTTGTGTGTGTGTGTGTGTGTGTGTGTGTGTGTGTGTCTGTGTGTGTGTTTGGCATATTGGTGTTCTACGAGGGAGCCGTCTGGTTTTGGGATGCCATCCTTGGAAAGGCCAAGTGGCAATTAGAGAGGGCGGGTTGTGCGATATCGTGGGTTTGCTGTTGTCAGTCCGCTTAACACGCATATTACCAAGTATATCTTGTATGAAAGAGCAACCGTGTATCTTCGCGCCCAGCGGACATCGAAAGGCGTAGAGGCGCCGAGGTCTTGTTTTTGCTCTACTTGTGGCATGTTCAGCTTCTGCCCACTGCCAACGTATATATTTCTACGGACTGCAACTCGCTGCAACGCATCTTGAATTGGAGCTTTACTTGCTTAGAAGCTCAGCTGAACCGGGGGACGTTTCAAGGTTTCAATGTATGGGGGTGGCTTGATTAGAGGCATGGGTCCACAGCACTGGATGAAATGATGTTTTCAAGATGCTTTGACATTGGACTGGCTTGTGCAAGTTAATTTTGATATGATATCGTCGCGGGTTGGAATGGAGTCAGTCAGTCAGTCAGTCAGTCAGTCAGTGTGTCTGTGTATGTGTGAGAGATTCTTGTGCCGCAAAGGTGGCGGAATCTGAAGTACGGGCCTTTGGGACAGGAAATGCTGAAAAGTCACAGTGAAGAAATCAACCAACTTCCTTGCAGGAGTGGCATTTTTTTTTGTCGCAGTTGACAATCTATATGCCATGCGATGATCAACCCCAAATAGTGAAGACCCCCAAACTATTTTGCTCCGCACGCATTTCGGATAGTTCCTTAAATGAAACCGACCATGTCGCATTTCCAAGAAGCGCACGTAGACCCAGAGGCAAACGGGGCAGCCGAGGTGCTGAAAGGCTCGCCCTTCCTGGGGTCTTGGCAAGATGCCCGCGACTTCCTGCAGCGCCGGGGGCCTTCGGGGGCCGCAGTCCTTTGGGAAGCCGCGGTCCTCTTTTTTTTTTTGGTGGGGGCATGCCCTTTGGGGTTCGCAAGGGATTCCAAAGGAAACCGCCCGGTGATGGGCCAGTGCCCATCTGTGGACAAACCCAATCGTCCTTCGACAAGAAGGTCAGTCGCTTGTCAGAAAGGTATCAGCGCCCTCAGCGGATTATTTGAATCTCTGCGGCAAGAAGGGCACTTCTTTAGGGGCGTCGCAACATCTTTGCCCGGTTGCAAGTTAGTCTCGTGGCTTTCTTCGGGGGGCTTGATCGTCTGAGGCGAGTCTTTGCCGCTTCCTATCATCTTCAAGGCCGCATTTGGCGGCGGCGGCCGGGGCATGCGACGCTCGCCTGTCAATTTGGGGTGCAGGTTTGCTTGCTTGCTTGCTTGCTTGCTTGCTTGCTTGCTGGCTTGCTGGCTTGCTGGCTTGCTGGCTTGCTGGCTTGCTGGCTTGCTGGCTTGCTGGCTTGCTTGCTGGCTTGCTGGCTTGCTGGCTTGCTTGCTGGCTTGCTGGCTTGCTGGCTTGCTGGCTTGCTGGCTTGCTTGCTTGCTGGCTGGCTTGCTGGCTTGCTGGCTTGCTTGCTTGCTTGCTTGCTGGCCTACTTGTCTCTGTTGCCTCACCGTGCCTTGCCTTTTCCTTTTCTGCTTGATCTCTGTAGATGAGGCAGTACTTGATGCCCAAAGCTAACCAATACCGGCTCTTGCCTTCTCAATCTTCTGGCCTTTTCTTTTTGGCATCTTGTGTCGCTGAAACATGCTGTCAGTCCAAGAGACACAGGTGCTGCAACAGACCTGAGGTCTGGTCCGGCAAGATGATGAGCTGAATGAAGCCTTTGAGTCCCGGCCTCAAGATTTGAATTTGGCATCTCTACCCAAGTTTATTTCACAAACAACTAGGAGGCACAGCCTATGGTCGAAATTTTGCTCATGCTTGTTGCACTGTTTCCTTTCGAGTCGTGGAAGTAGACAGGAGTTGCCTTGTCGGACTCTATCCTCCATGCAGGAGGGTAGGCTGAACGGTGATTGAGTGCTCGAGGCGTTGCACCAGCGAAGCCAAGACGGCCTTCGGCAACGGCTCCGCACGCGGCCCAGCGTCTCGCGGGGTGCGGGCATGAAGCCAGCTGGATGGTTGGTTGCAGTCCAAAAGTGAGAGTAGTTCTTTTTTTGTCGTTTTTGATCTTCGTGTTTGTTGGTCTTTCATTGAACGGCCGGTTTTCTCCCTGGTTCGTTCCAGCTTGATTCTGCAGGTCTTCCTGGAGGAGTTCCTGGATGACGCGCGGCACATCGAGGTTCAGGTGTTGGCGGACGGCCAGGGGGGGTGCGCGCACTTGTACGAGCGGGACTGCAGCGTGCAGCTGAGGAACCAGAAGGCGCCGGCGATGGGGAGTTGCATCTCTTCATTTGGCAGGTTTTCGGTCCTGGACCCCTTCCTTGCAAAGGTGGGACTCCCACTTTTCTCAATGGGGTATTCTCCTGCAGATAAGCAGAAGGTTTCCCAAACAGAAAAGACAAAAGGAGTCTCCTTTTGGGGGTGGATAATGTGAGGTCCATGCTTTCTCAACAGATGGCCCATGGCCACCTTCTATCTCCGCCTTCTTTTACTCACAGGTTCTGAAAAGAACCAATGGGGGGATCAACCCGTTTCCCTCTTGAGCGAAGGATCCCTATGACTCGTAGCATTCGAATCAACCACTCCTCTCTACCGCGTTCAGCAACCCAAACTCCCATTTTCCCAGAGTTTCGAAGGGAAGCATCCGCTTCGAATCAATCACTCCTTACCGCGTTCAGTAACCCAAACTCCTATTTTCTCAAAGTTTGAAGGGGACAATGGGGGAGGAGGGTAAGGGTACACATCACCATCTCGTGAGACTCCCAGACCAAAGTGCAGGTCGTGGAGGTGGCGCCAGCTCGCATCCACCCAGGGCCGGGGCCCCGCAGCTCGGGGCTTTGGGTGTGTCCCGACCCGCTTTGGGATGGCTTTCACAAGAAAGCAAAAAGGAAGTTCCCTAAAAAAGCACCAATACAATACCCAAATACAAGAAGCAAGTGGAGCAACCGCTTCATGAATCTGCGAGTCAAGGGGCTTGGTATTTTGGTGCCTTTGCGGACCTGTTTAGGTTCCACTGGCCAGTTTGCAGGGAAAACGGACGAAAGGTTCCATGTAGTCTTTTGTCAACGCCCATTTTTTCCCGTTGGTACGTCTCGAAGGGGTGCGGAATAAAGACTCACTCTAACCAGAGTGTCTGAAGTCTAGCAAAATCGCTGGCACCATCTACTTGCACCACTCACTCACACCCAAGAACTTTTTTCCAACCCAGGTTGCCTAATGAGACAGCAACGGAGCACTCACTTTTCAGGTTCCATCAGGCTCCTGGGTTTCCCTTCGAGCTCCAGCCGCTCATAGTGAGGCTTCGGGAGCGGATCACGGAGTGCGCGGTGCGGCTGCTGCTGAGCTGCCAGTACCGTGGAGCCGGGGCGCCCGGCGAGATGCGATGGAGCACAAGGCACAGGCAGGTCACTCAGATAGGCAGGCAGGCAGGCAGAGATTGGCAGATAAGACAGATTCACAGATAGGCAGGGATTGACCAATAGAATGGTAGATGGACAGATGGATAGAGGAAGGATGGATAGGCAGATCGACAGATACATAAGACGGACATGGATAAATGGGTAGATGCCCAGCAGGACATATTGATGGACGGAAAGATGGCCGATGGACAGATGGACAGACGGATAGATTGGGAGATGGGTAGAGATGGGTAGATGGATAGACGGGTAGATGGATAGATGCAGGGATTGATGTTCAGGATGTTTGGCTGTATGCATTGTGCGTAGTGCATGTGCGTTATGTAAAGTTATGACATGTGATGTAATGGAAGGCAATGCAATGTAATGCAATGCAATGTGATGCAATGTAATGTACTGCAATGTAGTGCATTGCATTGTAATGTAGTGAGTGTGGCGTAGTAGAATGCACCATCATGTAATGTAATGCAAGGGGCGTATATACGTGCGTGTGTACTTGCGTCCGTACGACGAATCAACAGGGAGACATAAATTGTAGTTTGTTTACAGTTGAACGATACGCATATTGATGAAGACCCTGTATGGCATCCCCTCAGCGTACTCCTGATCCTCCCAAACCACACTAGGAAAGTAGAACGTAGTTGGAATGTCCTCAAGTGGGGTTCCCAGGTGGTATGCCCCACTGGTGTATGACGAAGATCCTTAATACAGGCACATATATTATAATATGTTCGCATGTACATACATACATCATACATACATACATATATATATATACACACATGTGTACATATATACATGAAGATGCAGACACCTGCAGCATGCATTATCTACCTTCTTTTCACACTGTATGTATGTATACATATGAATAATATATATATATATAATATATACATATATGTGTTTATATGTATAATACAAACACTTGATATGTGCACCACCTAACAGGCTCAAGGTAGGGTTGTTTCTTGTTTTGGTCCATGTTGCCTCCAAGACATCCACTCATGTTGTTAATTTGTTTTTCAGCGCCTGTTTCGCTCAAGCCTACTATTCCAAAGTTGTCAAGGGCCCCCAACGAGACCCCCCCTCCCAAATCCCAATTTGGGCGAATAGGGGCTAATAGCGACTAATAAGGCCAATTATGAGCATGATCCAGTCTCGTCATCGTATGCATGTTCGTTTCGACCGCGTCCAATTCTGGAGGCTGTGTTGTCTGGAATTTGTTCGGCCCGGCCAGCTTCCGGTCACGCAATGGGTAGATCATAGCAGACACGAATGCAACTCCCCACAAAGTTGCAAGAGCAGGGGTAAGTCGCACTCTGACGGGCGATATGCTTGTTGCCCGTGCATCGCATGTATGCGTACTATCCACAACCGGGAGCTTATTGGGTGCTCAAGGTGGGCACGGTGGAGTTCATGGTGGCGGGCGGCTTGGATGACCCCTCCGCCCGCTTTGTCTTCATGGAGGCACGCTTTTCTTTTCTTTGGTTGGATCCGCGTTGGACTTTTTGCAGGTTACTCCTTCTTGCAGGGCTCACCATTGACTTTTGGAGAAGGCCCTTTTTTTGGGGCAACCCCCCCAACCTTCAGGATACGAAGGAAGCTGTTGCCAAAAAGAGATTCCTCCAAACATGATGTTGCCGTTGGTACCGTTTTTTCTTGTTTGTGAGTTTGGTTCACACGGATAAGGCCCCTGGAAGACCCTTGAGATTTGGATGGAGCTCCGCAAAGTTCGGTTGAGAAGTCTTTTGCGTTTCACGTTTCAGGGCATGGCGTCGCTAGTTGCGATGTGGGCGTGATCTAGCATTGCCTATCCTTATTCTGCTGGAGGGTGGTGCATTCCCGGTTGGCAGCTTCTGATCGGTCCAGGTGAACCCGCGCATTCAAGTGGAGCACACCATCACCGAGGAGGCCGGTCGCTTTTTTTGCCCGGCAGCACATCTTGGTCTCCCGTTCGCAGGCCACGGATGTGGACATTGTGAAGACCCAGCTGGGCATCGCAGGCAGTGTTGTTGCGGTTGTTTGTCTGCAGGTCAGGGGCTTTTCTTGCAAAAAGGAGGGGATCGTAACCCAGCCAATTCCCGGTTTCACGCCCTTGTAAAGTGCGCTTTTCGAATCTTGAGGGGCAGAAGTCCTCACCTGCTTGTCTCGCATGGTTGTTTGCTCGGCCGGTTGGGTCTTGGGCTGTCAGGCGGTGCCAAGTTGGAGGAGCTGAACTTGCCCGGAGGCAGGGAAGCTGAGGAGTTCCAAAGCAAACGTGGCAGACACGCGTCAGTTGTCCGGACCAAGACCATGTTGTACCACAAGAAAGACTGCTACATTCCTACAGGATTCCTTGCTTTGGTGATTGTTTGACCCTTTCCGAGCAGTCATGTTGACAGGCTTCCTTTCCATGCAATTCGGAAGCCAATATTTCGCAGTCCTGCGAGTTTGAGCACAGACACTATGATTTGCGTTTCCTCTAGGTATGATCACCACCAAACGAATCGCTGTGGCATTCAATACAGACGCTTGCTTGCATGGAACATGGGTGGTTCCGCCTTGGCTTTCCTTCAAAACAACCCAAAAAAAGGTAGGTCATCAACAAACAACACACACACACACCCATACAATATCGCAGTGCCTTCGCAGTGGCACAAAGGGTTTTCCGGAACTGGCCCAAAACTCGCACAACCACATCCCGAAAGCAACCCGCTAAACCAGCCGCACACCTAGCGCAAATCAGCCCCAAGCTCAACCCAAACCGACCCAAAGACAACCGTACATAAACCCACCCAACAGCATCCTTGATATCAGCCGTTTGCCGAGCCCAAATGAACCCCAAACAAACCCACGACCTGCACCTAAAGATCTCAGCAAGCCCGAAAATCACCTGAAACCAGCCCGAGCAACTCTCAAGAGCGCCAGTATGCGGCCAACCAACCCCGACTCTAGCCTGGCCAGCCTGTCCCCGGAAGAGTACCGCCGGTCCCCAACCTAAGGGCGAAGCAAGGGTTCCTAACCGGCCTGTTTAGAGGCACATGAGGGGAGGCCTTGCGCTGAGCCGCCCGGGTCAGCAAAAAAAGCATCAATCCCCCGCAAACCCAAGCCAAAAGAGTGGCCCCGGGAGTCCTCTAAAGACGTCGGAAGGCCCCGGCAGCGCGGCATCTACGCTGCGGGGCTTCGCCATCCAGTGCCGCGTCTCCTTGGCGCCAGGCCCGAGCTCCCGGGAAGGTTTGGGGGGAGCCGGGGCTTGGGGCTTCGGGGGGGCAGGGCGGCGGAAATTCCCAGAGTTTTGGTCTTTGACTTAGTGGGAGAACTCCGGTTTGATGAAGTTGATCTACACTGAAGCAGGGATGCCGGAGCAAAAACATTCATTTTGGATGTCGTTCCTTCCATGTGTGCTTGCCTACATGGAACTCCACCGAAAATGACTGTTTTTTTTTTCCTCTCTCTCTCTCTCTGACTCTCTCTCATTTTTTTCAAGGAACCCCGCAAGGGTACCATCAACAAGAAATGTTTCAGAGCAACGTACGCCAACCTGCGCAGAATCACTTGCACAGACCAATTTGCAAAACCAACTTGCGGGGGGGGGGGGTGTCTTTTCTGGAGTTGGAACTTCTGTGCAGGGTCGAATCAAACGAGAACCATTCCTTTCTAGAGTCCTTCCTGCCAGTTTTCCTCGGCTGGATGAAGGCAATTGTGAAGACACAGTGGAGCTGCTGGAGTGGATTTTGTGTGCTGTTTGGTGGGTGTTCAAAAAGCGAAAGGACACCATTGCTATTTTTGATGGTCTAAGCCCGATTGTGAGAAACGCTCATTCCGCTGGTTTGAACTATTTCTTGGCCAATCCTGAAATTGGTGTTTTGTTGGGAGGGGGGGGGGGGGGGGTTTGGGGGAATATGTGCAACTTGGTCATTGCATGTATGTGTGAAGTTGGGGGACTGGTGCTTTGGGGGGGTTCTTCTGCTGATTTGCAGCTGGCAGGTTTGTTGCTGATTTGCTAAAATTGCGAGCCATCCTAAGCGTGAACGTCGCTCTTGACGAGCTAAAGATGGAGAGACATGGGGCCCGTTTTCGGGATGGGAACAATTACAGACAGAGAAAGGAGGAGCAGCAGCTGGGCACCTGAGCGTTTCGAGGAGTTACGAAGGTCCCAAAACCCAGATTCCGTCAGATTGATGGCTACTTGTCATCCATCAGACACATGTGGGTTTGTCTCACAATGAGGGACCGTCAAATTGGTTTTCATGTGGTTTCTCCCCCGACGCAACGTCACGTGGGAACCCTCAGGACATAATTTTGCGGTGGTTCCGTGTGTCGAGATCTCAGGCGGCGGCAGCGAGGTGTCGAAGTATGCGGAGCCAGAGGGCGAGGGCGTGCGGGTGGACGCCGCCCTGTATGCCGGCGGTAGTCCGAGCATGCACTACGCAGAACCGGCTCAACATTTTTCGGGGGTGCACTGTACTTGTGTGGCAAAGGGTGGAATGAAGAGTGTCAAAGGGCATGGCTCAGAGGTGATTGAGAGAGCTGAAACTTTATTTGGGGGCCGTGCAACTCGACTTGCCAGGATCCCCTGGTTGGAAAGCTGATCTGCTACGCAGATGGCGCAGGCCTGGCTTTTCCCTAGCTTGCAGTTCGGAAACGCATCTGCGGGGCCAGGGGACGATGCCTTTCAAGTCTGCCGCCAGCGGACCATCACGGCCTTGGACTCCTATGTCATTGATGGGGCCGGGCGCCCAGGGGCGCAACTGCACAGACCTTGATATCCGAAAGTCCTGCTCTCAATGCCCGCGCTCTTGTCGGCAGGAAACCATGGTTGGGGTTCCAAGGTCAACACCAACAAGCCGACCTTGCGGGGCATCCTTCATCACCCGGAGTTCATCAACAATGAGGCGCACGTGTAGCTGAGGGGAGTTGTCACTGCCTTCGGCTCTTAGGGTTCCCCAAAAGGTTGAGGGGCTGAGGGGCTGGACACCCGCACGTGTTTCGATTCACATGGTGACTGGATTGCGGAAGGGGACTTGCCAAATCAAACAAGGACTTGGTATAACACAAGCACGGCGCCTGCCAAGCGGGATACATTCGAGGTGTTGCTTCCAGGCTTCGACATTCTGGGCCACTCACTTTATGCACATGTTTGCCCGTGGCCCCCCCCCCCCCCCCCGACCCGACCCACCTACTACTACCACTTTTCCTGAAGCAAGAAGCAACGCAAATGGTAGAGCAACCCCAGCAGTCGTATGGATGTTGACGGTTTGGGATGTTTCTCTGGGTAGGTGCTCTTGTCCTTCATGGCCCGGCACGGTGCGACGCTGGCGGGCGGCACTGCGGCAGAGAAGACAGGCCCGTGAGATGGGTTCCCGGCCAGTAAATTCTCTTGCCTCTGAGATGAGGGATCATCTCTATGAACCATCTCCTTACAGTTTCCTTCAAGAACAGCCATTGGTTCATCCCCAAATCGTTCATTTTGATTTCCTGCTGAGAACAAGTTATTTGATGGATTCTTGTGAATGGCCACCCAACCTGCAGTTCCGGCCACACTTCCATCCTTAGGTATTTTTCGTGGTATCGTGGTTTTCAACAGACCTTGGCTGAAAAACGACTCTTGCCTTTTCGGGTCCCAACGAAGACCAAGGCTATTGAAGGGAGACAACTGATGCATAGAACTGTTAGAATGGCCGACCAGTGGCGTTCAGTGTCCAAGTATTAATAGATGCTCACAATTCTCTCCTCATTTTCGCAGTGTCCCCCACCTCCAAGAACACTGCTTGATACTCACGTTGTTGTATGCCATGGGGCACGCGGGTGTGATCAGCCGCGGGGCGAACGGTAATCCAGGCAGGGTTGGCCAGGGGCAGCGGGTCAATGCTATTACTTTTCTTCCAGAAAAGGAGTACGAGCATATTCCTCTTGGTTGTAAGTTGGAACCTGAGAGGAGAACTGTACCGTTTTGAATCCGCTTACTTCCCCCAGGCGGAGCCAGCAAGCCAGCCGGGCGTCTCAGCAACTCGCGGGCGAAGATGAGCGCCCAAAACCTCTGGCCGTTTTAGTTTGTGTCTAACACATTTTGAGCACTTATCTAATTGACGGGTTATGAATGAAAGAGAGAGCTGAGCCACAGTAGGAGTTCTCTGGCACCAGGCCAAGCATGCTTGAGTCGATCAGGCTCTGGTGGGCTGTTTTGATTGTTTAGACACGCTGTTCCTATTTGGAGGCCTACTCACCTTCCCTCGTTGAGCGTGACAATCTTGCAAAATGCATTGGGCACGTCTGGCATGAAGCTTTTCAGCTTTGTGAGAGCTGATCTTCAGGAGAGTAGATCACCATAGATAGCCTATCAACAGAGTCTCATCTTCCTAATGAATGAACATTGGACTACGCAATCCGCAAGGGTATGAAAGCGTCAGAACTCCATAAATTCCACTGTGCAGGCTGAGTAACGCCGCAACGGATGCCGCAAATATCCCTAAAACCGTTGTTGAGCCATACTTGGTCAAATAACTGGCGAACTCTGAAGCAACAGCTTCGGATGTTTTGGGAAAGGATCTTGTGCCGACGTGGGCATGACGCAATAGGCGCTGCGACTGTTTGGGTGAGTCATCCCAGGAAAGACACATCGCATCTTTTCCAGGTCGGACCCCTTTCAACTCTTTCCTACCTTGCTTGCGCTGATCAGCGGGGTGCTTTGGCTTCTTGCATTTGAGCTGCTCTTGTCATGGCGCCAAAAAGAAGAGGCGACAGGTTTTCTGGCGAAGGTGGAGTGCGTTGTTGGCAGCAATCAGAATTGCCGCCAGCGGCTTCCCGTGGCTCTCATCTTGCTGCTTCAAGGCCTCACTCTTTGGATGCGGCTGACATGCGGTGCCGTTGGTCAAATTGTGTCCTGGGCCAGCTGTGTCTGCAAACCGCCGAGAGGCTGACTCTAAGGCAATTCCAAACCTTGCCTGATTCGCTGCTTTGGGACTTAGTAATTCTTGGAGGGGGCAGAAGCTGTTCCAACACACGTACGCCCTAAGAACACATCAAGTTTGACAAATGTAAATGGGAGACACTGCCAATGTTTATATAGTTCAAATTGATGAACATCGGCTAGGAATTGTTCGGCTTGATGTTTCCTTCCTTCCAGCTTTTTGCATCCCCAGCATCACCGATGATTATTATGATGCTGATGATGCACATGTCGCGCATGATGCTCAGTGACAATGGCGCCGACGATGATTGATGATGATGATGATGATGATGATGATGATGATGATGATGATGATGATGATGATGATGATGATGATGATGATGATGATGATGATGATGATGAGGATGAGGATGAGGATGAGGATGAGGATGAGGATGATGATGATGATGATGATGAGGATGAGGATGAGGATGAGGATGAGGATGAGGATGATGATGATGTTGATGATGATGATGAGGATGAGGATGAGGATGAGGATGAGGATGTTGATGATGATGATGACGATGACGATGACGATGATGATGATGATGAGGATGAGGATGAGGATGTGGATGAGGATGAGGATGAGCATGAGCATGATGATGATGATGATGATGATGATGATGATGATGATGATGATGATGATGATGCCTTTCACGTCCCCAGCAACGCCAGCGAGGCCCCTTTCGGAGAGGGGGTCGGCGGATTTTCTTAAAAAGATGTTCCTCACAGTGGCAGTGAAAGGCTGCTAAGACAGCAAGACTAGTGGAGATGCTGCCAGCGCAACCAAGCTTTTGGCGGTTCATGCTTACCCTTTTGTGTGTACCCTTTTGTGTGAGCATCCCCGTTTTGACCAGCGAGGTGTTGCGGGCTTGAGGTAAGAAGGGCCTCTTTTCTTGCAAATAGGTTTTTTTGCAACCTGGTCTCAAGTTTCGCAAAGCCCTCTGCGGGGCACGACCAGTGCTACTGACGCTTGCAGCGGGATGCTGGTGATGCGTTGCTTGCGCCTGAGGCGGCGCTGAAGCGCCAGGAGCTGGCGGTGCCGTCGCCGCTGGAGGCCACGGTGGTGAAGAGCTGCGTGGCGGAGGGCGCCGAGGCGAAGAATGGGTCAGGGGGAGGAAAAAATGGTCCCATAGCCACTAAGAGCGCAAGAAGCAGGGGGAGAGAGTTCAATCGTTGGATCCCTCTGAGTTCCCCGCACGTTGAAATGTAGGGAACCCTGTGCCTCGTGAGACACATCGGTTTGGCCATGACTCGTGCGTGCAGAGGCCTCCCCCAACGAATGACAAATGGACACAGGGGATTTCGGGATTTTCACAGACCCCAAGCAAGGCTAGACTCCTTTTTCCTCCTAGCATGCCACTAGCATGCCTGACAGGGCCCGTTCAAGACCATTTTGCAGGGCATCATAGTTTTTTTTTTCTTCGCAGGCCTCGTGTAACTGTTTTTGTCTATCAAAGTGGGAGGAAGGGCAACGACAAAATCCGGGCCCGATTTTTTTCTTTTTCTTTTTTCAGGTGGAGGAGGGTCAGCTCTTGGTGCTGCTCTCCGCCATGAAGCTTGAGACGGAGGCCATGTTTGGGGGTCCGGGGGTTAGGATTTGTTTTTTAGGAGTCCGTTTTCCGTATTCCTAGTACCAGGCGCCCCAAAAGGGTATCCGCAAGAAAGATTCACACCCGAAGAGTCGTGGGTTTGGGAAATCCTATGTTCTGCGATACCAAGGGTGTTTTTCCCGTTTTATCACTCTTCGGAATGGGCGGCCACTTCCCATATCTCGGTCATCCACAAGGCGCGTGCACTTGAGGATGGCAAAAACAAGAGCATGGCTGAATATGGCTTAGAAATGGGAAATGAGGGCCATGGAGCCAAAAGACAGCTTTTGGGCCCTGAGTCTCCATCCATCCAAGCCTGAAGGTCCGGGCGCCCCACGCTGGCACTGCCGGGTGCCCAGTGGATCAGGTTTGGTGGGGGAGCCACAATCAGCTGGGAAGTGCAAGTCAGCAGCCGCCCTTCTGGTGCTCCACATGGTTTTGAGTAGACTTTTTACCGGGTTTTGGTTAATCAGGCGGCTTTTCGACATCTGTTGCTTTCCAGAATTGGTTTTGGACCTCGCCCGGAGTTCTGCCTTACGACTCCAAGTTACGACTGGAAACGCGCGAGCTGAGGTGCTGAAGGTCGCAGTCGTGGATAACCAAACCGTGAAGTCGGGTCAAGACCTTGTTGCCACAACCTCAGATGGCGTCGCTTTGTCTCTCTTTTGGAGCTTCTTCATTGTTCGATCTGCTCTGATCCCGGATCTGTCGACTCTCCGGCTGGGAGTTGCAGCTTCGTAGGGGACTCCACCCAGCAAATGGGCAACCGCCTTTTCTGACGGTTTTGAGCCTCAGCCAGGCGCTTTGCCTGGTGACTTGGTGAGGTTCTGGACGCGCTGGTGCCGGAGGACGGGGCGGGGGCAGCGGCGGCCACAGCGGCCACGGCAGCGGCCAACCGCGTGCGAGTAGGCAGGGTATGACTGGAAGGTCTGGCAGGGGACAGGCAGGTGACTGGTGTGTACACCTGCCCATCAAGGGCCTGCCCAAATTTTGAGGCTCGCCGGGTTGAAGGGAGTTGTTTCATCCGAAACAAAAGATAGGCCACCCGTCTCTTTAGACCTGTTCCGGCAAATCATGCGGTCCCGCCTGTAGCAGGGCCCGTCACTTTTATCGTTCCCAGACGCTATCGAAGTCATTATGCCAGCGGGCCTGGTGCCTTGAAGTTTCCAGGTGACTGACAGAAACACCGTACCTCTGTGACATCACCAGTCTCCAGGGGCTTGCAACTCGTTTCGGCCGACTCGCAAAGACATGAGGTGGCCTCGGAGCGGTGGATAGCACCGCGGTGTGGTTCGGCAAGACGACGGGCCTGGGCCTAGGGCATTGGTCGGAGGCAGGCATTTTGCTTTGCGGACAGTGTAGTAGTACTTGTAGTACTGGTAGTACTACTTCTAGAGTACTTGTAGTACTGCTTCTAGTACTTATAGGACTACTTCTATTACGACAAGTACTGGTAGTACTGCCTCAAGTACTTGTAGTACTTATAGTAGTACTTGTAGCACATCTGGTACTTGTAGTACTTGTAGTAGTACTTGTAGTACTGCTTCTAGTGCTTGTACTACTTGTCGTAGTTGCTGTGGTACTTGTAGTAGTACTTGTAGTAGTCCCCTCCCCCAGAACTATACCTAGTTCTTCCTAGGGGTCGCTTTGGGGTGTTTATTGATGTGAAGCCATTTACTAATGCGGGTTTGGGGAGCTTGTGTGGGGTACCTCATGTTGGAGCCCAGGGACATCACTTTTGTAAAGAGACTAGATTGAAAAGCCGCGCTTTCCGGGCATGTATGTTTTTTTTTGACATTTGAGGTGTGCTGGGGAGCCCTTGAAGGTTCCAGTTATATTATATACCTTGCCTGGTGCGCTGCACACTTGTTGCATGTGTCTCTGTGCCATCAACTTCTGCACGCTACCTGCTTACTTTTGAATCATTTTGGACTGGTTTGCCCCCTGAAAACAAAACAACTTGCTTGGCTTGCCCCCGCGTTCGGGGAATTTTATTAATGTGAGTTTTTTGGGTGGTTTATTAATGTTGTGCTTTGGAGGGTCGACTTGGGGGGCGGTGTTGTATGTTTGCAATTAGCTTTTGAATTAGCCCCTTCTTAGTTTAGTTTTGGGTGAAAAAGCGTGTCCGGTGGCCGATAAATTTATTAATACGCGCCCATTTACTAAACTTAGGTTGACATTATTCCTATTATTTACATTTGCATTTGCACGTACACTTGCATGCACACGTACACCTACATGTACATTGACAGTTTCATTTACACGTGCACTTACATACATACACATGCACATTCACATACACACACACACACAGCTACACCATATAATGTATACCATTGAACCCTGTTGTGGGACCTTTGGACTCACGAGGCGTGAAGCCCTGCGAGGGCGCCACCAGCAGCAGCATCCGGCTGCCGCCGCCGCGCCATGACGAGGTCGGGGTCCCCCAGGAAACGTGGAACGGGGTCTTAGAATTCTAGACATAGGTTTGGAGAGTCAGTGTTTTTTTTTCTTGGGTTCCCATCCAAGCCCCAAAAGGTCAGGGTTCATGCCCCTTTTTGGAACCTCTTCTCGTGGGCCTTGAAGGGACACTCTGAATGCGACACCTCCCCATAAAGAATGACTGTCGTGTAGCACCCTAGTAGCCATCTGACAGACGAATTAGAGCCATGAATTGATCGTCCAATATCTAAGACTGGAAGTGGGTCCTTGGTTCCCTGCTGTAAATTGGGTACACCTTACAGGAGAGGGTATGTCCACTGGGTACGTAAAAGGGGTAAGTTCAAACACCCCAAAAAGTCTCGACTCAGCAGCTGCTGTTGGCTTCGTGAGCTTTGGCAGCTTTGACCTATCCGTTCTTGGTTTCTGCAAATGTTCCTTGCTTTTGTTCCAGTTTTGGCATAGTTTTTCCTTCTTTAGGTTCAGATGTGGACGGATCTGCCCAGCGCCGCACGCAGTCCTCGGGTTGGTTCGGTCGACAGGTGTACCAGCACCGGCAGAAGCACCACACGGAGCTGCTGGAGGAGCTCAACCAGCGCCTCGCGACCGTGCACGCCGGGGGAGGCGAGGATCTCGCAACCAAACCTTGTCCAGACCCGGACCCGGACCAGTTTGTGGGCACACGGAAAACAAGCTGAAGGGGTTGAAACGGGCAGAAACAGGAGCAACCACAGCACGAGGTAATATGTTTTACTGCATGGTTATACTGAACCTTCCCGTATATGGCAGCGATAGCTTGCCGTGCATACGTTCAAGGGTCTTCCTGAATGCATCCACAAGTTTTTGAAGCTTTGATACGTTTGCTTGCACAAGAAGTGCAACATGTAAATAGGTGTCTGTGCTGGAGGGCACTGTTTTGGGGTTGTTTAAGGGAAACCGAGAGGACACAACCCATTTTGAGGTTCAGCCCATTCTGAGACAGACGCAACTCCTTTTGGATGAGCCAAGTTTGCAGTGCCTGCTTCAAGTTGGAGCGCAGGTCAGGGTCCATTGGAGGCAAGTCGCAATCATTTTTTAGGTCGCGTTTGCTCGTGCCAGTGTGATGTGAGGCATGCAAACCGCTTCGGCGACTTGTGGGACCCTTTTGAGTTTTTGTGCTTTCGCCTTTTGGGAAAGTCCCTCGTCTGCCAGGCACCAAGGCCGTCGAGCAGCACCATTCCCGCGGCAAGGCGAGACAAGTTGGCGTGTTTTGGAGGGTACCCTGAAGAATACAATTGGTGTCAAGAGACGTCAACAAGAACAACACACACACACACACACACAATGTGTTGGGCTAAAGGGTGACCCCCAGCTGGCATTTGCAACAGCAAACCTGTTGGAGATCTGGGTGCTCACAAACTGTTCCATAGGCAAGGACCGTCATCCGCTGCCAAAAGGTGACATTGGGCTATGGGTGACTCGCCAAGTTTCTGTGTAATTTGGTGTCGCTATGAATCCGTAACATGCTGTTCCCATTTATTGACTTTGTACTATGTCTGAAGACCATTTCAGTATATAGGAGGAAAGCATCACCCATTCATCCAGGTTCCGCCTATTGGAGGATCGGAGCCGTGTTTTGGGGGTTAGTCTTCAATGAGCGACTGATGTCTGAGGGTCTGACTGCTGAAGTGAAGCCGATACTATCACGCATGTTCCTGGATCCAAACGGAATGTGTTCCGTCCGCACGCCCATTGAAAGGTCCCTGAAGGCAAGAATTCCTCCCCGGGCCAGGCTTTGCCCCGCGAGCGCATCGAAGCGATCCTGGCGCGGCACTCGGCACGCACTGTTGTTCACAGCACGTGTGGGGGATGGGGGGACCGGAAGGGGGAAAATGTGGCTGGCAGATGCTCTTTCTCATGCTCTAAAGATATGGATGACATTTTGGGACATTTCAATTGAGGCTTACGGTAGATTTCCTGCTCAAATGTTTGGAGGGTTTGGATAAAGCGAGCTTGCCGGTGAATATTTTGAGCCTCCTATAGCATTGTCGTACGTAGGCACAACTTTTATTCTTGGAAAGCTTGTGAGGAATGTTGAAAGGGATGCCAAGGCACCAAAAGCTCCAGCTAGCATCAGCGTCCTGCATCCCTTCCTTTTGGCACGTTATCCCAAACAAATCCCAAGGACCAAAAGACCAGTGTTCGCTGTTTTAGAACACCTACAAGTTTAGCCATGGTCTCCCATGCGCAGGGTCGCTGTTCGGCATTCGATCTAAATTTCGGAGGTCCAAGATGAGTTCTTCAGGCGACGTGGGCCGGGGATCAGCGGGTCGCAGGACCAAGGCTCCAAGTTTCTGGAGTTCTCGCCGCTGGCGGCCTGTGATCTGTACGACGGCAAGGCCCACTCTGCAGGCGCTTCAATCGCACGCGGCGCGGGTGAGGGGATCATGTGCTTGGTGGCAGCCCGGGTTGGGGTGGGTTGCTTCTGGTTTCGTGGCTTAGTGATTCCAAGGATATATTAGACACCGTGCCAGATTTAGATCTAGGCACACGAATTGACGTAACTCTGGCCGCGATTAGGACCCTCACGGGGGGAGGCAAAGGGGGCCATGGACCTAGAAAGTGCAGAAAGGGGTGAATGATTCCATATGAACTTCTTGGTTTGGTTTGAGCGGCTGCATTTGCAAACCTTGGGTGCGGGCGGGCTCAAGGAGCAACCCATCTGGAATGCAGGAGTCTTCAATTTTTGAGTTGGGGAGGTGCGGTCTTTGCAAACTAGTATTGAGTGTAGCTTGGACGTTTTGAGGTTTGAGGTCAGGCTTTTCTTGGAGGCTGTGCCATGGATGTGCTTGTGCTGCAACTCGCAGGCATCGTCACCGGCATCGGCCTGGTGCACGGCCGGGAGGTTCTCTTCGTGGCCAACGACGCCACGGTGAAAGGCGCGCGGAGCGTTTGGTGGGACCAGCTGTCAAGACATAGCTGAAAAAGCTCCCACCTTTGGAAGAGTCAGATCCATGCTGAGGCAGCCAACTCTTGGATGTTCCGATTTGGTAGAGGCACCACGCCTACTTCCATCCTGCAGGCAATACTGCTGGTTCCCACCTTTGGATGGTTTACGACGTCATTTGTGCGTTGAGTTCGTGTAAGAGTTGGGGGGATGTCCAAAGAGAGACTATGAACGAAGTGGTCGAGGCGATTCAGGGCTGGGTTCACTTTACGCGCTATCCAAAAGGGCCCCGCAGTTTTGGACCCAGATGATTCACTGAGCGGTACCTGTGTGCTCGTGAGTGGCTTGCAAACAAGCCAGGTGGCACCTACTACCCCATGACCGTGAAGAAGCATTTGCGTGCGCAGCAGATTGCCATGGAGAACAATTTGCCTTGCGTCTACCTGGTTGACTCTGGGGGTGCCTACTTGCCGCTTCAGGATGAGGCTGGGGCAGCCAAATTGGCACCGGTTGATCAGAGGGAACATGCGGGCTGCACACGGTTGTTTAAGTGGGTTGCGTGGGATGCTGGAGATACACTGCATCCTTGCACAAATGCACTCCTTTCTCTCTTTTTTTGGCGAAGGTGTTTCCTGATCGGCTGCACTTCGGCCGCATCTTCTACAACCAGGTGGGCTGGGAGCCTGCAGACCCCTTTTGGATGGTCTTTCAATAAATCAAGCATTTCTTGGCGTCCGCAATTTTAGGACACGCCTATGTTGTGTATCGGTTGGAAAATCACATGTTACTGTAAAGCACAGTGTTGCAATCCTGCATGAATGGCCCGCGATGCCCCGCGGTGTACTGAAGAGCCCAGCTGGGTTGTTCGTGCCGGTGCACTTTCACATGAACCTTTAAGAGGCATTGTCCTGGAATCATTTCCATCACTTGGCTCTTGAAGCAGATACTCAGATAGCATCGGGGACAACGGCCGCGCATGTCGTCTATTCAAAGGAACAACATCCGTGTTCCCCAATTCAACCGGCAGGCACAGATGTCCAAGAAGGGCCAACCCCAGATCTCCGCGGTGCTGGGCTCCTGCACCGCAGGGGGCGCCTATGTGCCTGCGGGGGGCCTAAGCTTGGGGAAACTGGCTTGCTCCATTCGGGTGGGGTTCTCAAATGACCAGACCTACTACTGCTGCCGAGCCGGTCCTCCAATGCGACTCCGGGCTCTTTTGCGTTTCATGGGGGGGGTTCCGACGTGAGGCCATGTCTGACGAGAACATCATCGTCAAGGGGAACGGCACCATCTTCCTGGGCGGGCCGCCCTTGGTGAAGGCCTCCACTGGTGAGGAGGTCACCGCCGAGGCGAGCGAGCAAGCTGAGTCAAGAAGAGGTTGGGCCTCGTTGGGTGAAAATCGATTGGACTCGACGCGAATGCCACATCTCAGCAGTTCTGGGTGTGTGCCAAACACGGGGATTGGTTGGAAGCCCTGGGCTTGAGTCAGGAACTGGGCGGCGCAGATGTGCACACCTCCAAGTCTGGGGTGGCGGACCACTTCGCGGAGAATGAGCCGCAGGATCGGCCGATCTGGTCGGATGGGGGGCGAATGGCATGGGTGAGGGGCGAGGGGATGCGGGGGAGAGAGATTGAGGGCGAGAGGACTCTAGCAGTGGGGAGATGGGCAGAACTCCTCCTGTTGGGTGTTAAAGGGACCTGAAGCAAATTGGAAGGCTTTGAGGTTGGAGAAGTCGCAGCGACCAAAAGCATGCCAGGCTCTGGCCATGTGCCGGGAGGTGCTGGCATACATCGGCAACACGT